AAAAAAAAATAAAAATGAGAGGTAAATAGATCACTTATTCATAAGTGTGCTTGCATTGAATAAAGAAATACTAGAATACACAAGTAACTAATAGAAATTATTATAAAGGGCCATGGGGACAGGTGGATAAGGACAAGAGTAAGAATGTGACTTTCCTGGTATATAACTTTTTATATAGTTTTGGTTTTTGAATAATGTATATATATTATTTACTCAAAAATTAAATCTAATTTTAAAAATAAAACACTCAGGTTATAATGCTAAAACAGAATAGAAAATTATATAGACAATATAATAAGAACTCTGTAAAAATATCATACATAGAAAAAGGAAATGCCCTAGAAAGTTTACAGTAATTGTCTTTAGGTAGGAGGAGTACATATTTTTTATTTTTTCTTCCCTGAATTTTCCAATTTATCTATGAAGTACGTATTTCTTCAAGAGAGGAAAACATGTCTTGTTCTTCCAAATGTTTCCATTCATAATGCACTTTATTCAGTAAGTGACTTCCAGTTCTTAGTACCCTCACATTTAATATTCAGAACATAATAAGAAAGCAGACACTTACGAGGATAGCACTATGGCAACAGCATCATTGAGGACACTTTCACCAAAAAGAAGTGCGTAGAGTTCAACATCAACTTGAAGCTCATGGAATATGGCAAGAACAGTCACTGGAAAGGGAAAAGAGTCAGAAGAATATTTACATGTGACAAACATAACTTACTCCCCTCAATAGATGATTATAGAGTTACATAGAAATTCATTTCTTCCTCTTAGAATTAAATCTTAATGAATATTTTCTTGCCATATTAAAGATTCAGTGATTTTATATCAATATTTTTCTTTTCCCTAATTCTGTGCATGCAACATTGCCTTTTTCTCTCTTAAAAGCAGTTGAAAATAACTTTGGAGGACTGAGTTAGACTACATTCTTCAAATACATGTTAATGATCTTTTCCTGTATATTTCTTTTCCATATAGAATATGTTCAGAATTTCTTACAAATAAAGTAGTTGCTAATCCTTAATAAAGAAAAATATTATGGCTCGGCGCCTATAGCTCAACGGGCTAAGGTGCCAGCCACGTACACCTAAGGTGGCAGGTTCGAATCCAGCCCGGACCCGCCAAACAACAATGACGGCTGCAACCAAAAAATAGCCGGGCGTTGTGGCGGGTGCCTGTGGTCCCAGCTACTTGGGAGGCGGAGGCAGGAGACTCGCTGGAGCCCAGGAGTTGGAGGTTGCTGTGAGCTGTAATGCTACGGCACTCTACCCAGGGGGACAGCTTGAGGCTCTGTCTCAAGAAAAATATTATGAAAAACATCTACTGCAAGCTTCATTTTTTTCCTTGAAGCCTTACACCTCACTCCTACTTGACTTGCAAATTTCAAGCACACCAGTTTAGCAAAAACAGTACAAAATAAAAACAGTTTAATTTGGGGGTAGGATAAAATTTATGATCAGAACTATAGCTACTATTTTTGATGTAATATGAAGCCAGCTACCAGGATATTATAACTTGAAAAGCAAAGAAACAAACAAACAAAAAACAACAACCAATTCTTTTAGGAAAGCAATCATGAGAATCCTTAGAATATCAGATGGGACTGAAGTTGCATTAAAACTTTAATTGCAGCTCGGCGCCTGTGGCTCAAGTGGCTAAGGCGCCAGCCACGTACACCTAAGGTGGCGGGTTCGAATCCAGCCCGGACCCGCCAAACAACAATGACGGCTGCAACCAAAAAATAGCCGGGCGGTTGTGGCAGTGCCTGTGGTCCCAGCTACTTGGGAGGCAGAGGCAAGAGACTCGCTTGAGCCCAGGAGTTGGAAGTTGCTATGAGCTCTGATGCCACAGCACTCTACCCAGGGGGATAGCTTGAGGCTCTGTCTCAAAAAAAAAAAAAAACTTTAATTGCTAGGTCACATACAGCTTACTTGCTAAATACATCCAGGCAGACATGAAATATTAACATAACCAGAGATGGGAGAGCCTTTTTAAATGCCAACCATAAAAACAGGAAACTTGCATTTTAAAAGATATAGTCTCTACTAAAAAGCATTGCAGCTGGAATATACTGATACCAAAGCTTATCATAAGACAGGGAAAGGGAGGGTAGAGTAATACTGCAGAATTTTGAAAAGACAACCAATGCCCTACTCTTCTAAGAGCAAGTAACAGTCACAAAATAATATAATTAGGGCCACTGCCTATGTAATTCAGAAAAAAATATAACTGTCCAGCTGTATACAAGCAAAAGATTTTTACTTGAGCTGTTCAAGCAATAGCCCTACCAAAACAAAATGAGAAGGTTGATGTAGCTAGTCCAATCAACTCAGATTTCTCAAAGCCTTTGAAAAATCAAGGTGCTTGCTTCTACTGAGAAGACACAGACACCAGAGACCACTGGCTCCTTGCAAAAACCATCCTACCTTCATATTGATAATGGAAGCAGCTACAAACTTCAAGGGAGCAATTTGATTTCTAGTTTTAAAAATACTAACTTACACAAATGTCTCTCTTTAAAAGGGCCCTCTGACTAATCTTTCAAACCCATCTCTTGTAGAGAAGACATTTTTCTCCTTCCATAATGCCCTGTGTTATGAGAATTAACAAGGGAATTCAGAGATAACCTTAGGATCCTACCTTTTTAATTGTGCTAGATGACAATTAAAGAAGATGATTAACTTACAAGGTCAAAAAGTAAAACAGAACAAAGTTTGATCAAGGTCCAAAGCCTAGCAAAAGACTTCCATCTTTAGTTCATAAACTTCAGTCTATGTTCCTAACCCAACCTTTCATCCTACATTTTCTCCAAATTCCTAATCTGAATGTAGCTGTTAAACTTAGCAATACTATGCTAGGACAACTAAGACCTAATGCAGTACAATTAAATTCATTCTATAACAACTTTTAAAAGATCTGACACTAAAAGCACAAGGGTACAAGCTGTGTTAATATCAAAACAATTTTATAACCGTAAGGCTAATTTTATAAAGACAATTCTTTAATGTGTATTAAAGTCCACAAGTGACCCCAAACCATACCTGTATTAGCAGAACTACCTTCTAACAATCATTTAAAATGTTCTTTTTAACATTAAATGCAGATTGGGCAGCACCTGTGGCTCAGTGGGTAGGACACTGGCCCCATATACTGAGGGTGGTGGGTTCGAACCCGGTCCCAGCCAAACTGCAACAAAAAAATAGCCGGGCACTGTGGCAGGCACCTGTAGTCCCAGCTACTCGGGAGGTTGAGGCAAGAGAATTGCCTAAGCCCAGGAGTTAGAGGTTGCTGTGAGCTATGACGTCATGGCACTCTACCAAGGGTGATAAAGTAAAACTGTCTTTAAAAAAAAAGAACATTAGGCTCAGCGCCTGTGGCTCAAGTGGCTAAGGCGCCAGCCACATACACCTAAGGTGGCGGGTTCGAATCCAGCCCGGGCCCGCCAAACAACAA